ATCTCACTTTTTCACAAAATTCTCACTTTTTTATCAAAATTCTCAAAAAACAAAATGTTTCTCAATATCATAAAATTCTCACTTTTTCTAAAAATCACTAAATTCACATTTTCTATTTTTTAATTTATTTTTTACTGTTTTTCTAAAAATTCTCTTTCTTGAAATCTCACTTTTTATCAAAATTCTCACTTTTACTCAAATTGTTAACGTTTTCTTAAAATCTCAAAATTCTCACTTTTTCTAAAAATCAAAATTCTCATTTCCATTTTTTTTTTTACTTTTTCAAAAAAATTCTCACTTTACAAAATGCTCACTTTTTCTCCAAATCTCAAAACAATCCAGTTTGAATCCTCAATGCTTTTCAATCCCTAACCCAGTTGTAGGGCTCTTGGTTCTCTGCATGCGTGTAAATGAATGTGTCTCTGTGTGCAGGCTAACCTGGATGAGCAGCAGATGTCCTCCAACATGCTGGTCAGAGCTCTGATGACATGCATCTGTCAGTCAGCCATCATCTGTGAGTTATCCGCATGTTCCCTGTAGATATTACGCATTCAATCAAGTCAGAATTACCTCATAAACTGCTCCATGCCCGTCCCGTTAATGGCGTTTTGTTTCCTGCAGATGAGAACCCGAACAAGGTGGACGCCGCTAAGATCAAGAAGAGAGCGAAGGTCCTGCAGAAATACCTGAGTGACGACAAGAAGGAGCTGCAGGCTCTCTACGCTCTGCAGGCGCTGATGGTGGAGCTGGAGCAGCCGGCCAGTGAGTGACTTCTTAACATCATTTAGAGCAGCGGTGTCCAAACTTTTTTCACCGAGGGCCACGTACAGAAAATATTCGAAGGGCTGGGCCGCTATATATGGCCTCATAAGTTCAGTCATAAGTTTGAGAAATCAATCAAATGTAGGTAAATTATTCCTTTTAAAAGTTACAGCAGACCTGCAGGGAGTTTGTTCCAGATATTTGGAGCATAATAACTGAACGCTGCTTCTCCATTTTTTGTTCTGAGTGTTGTAGTATGTGTTAGGCTTTATAATTGGTTTAATATGGGAGGCTGTGGCGCAGTGGAATAGTGCGTTGGTGTTGTGATCAGGTTCAAACCCCACTGCAGTCAGCATGTCGTTGTGTCCCTGAGACACTTCACCCCAAAGTGCTCCTGTGGGGATTGTCCACAGTATTGAGTATGTTATGGCGCATTTCCACTGCAGCGGGTAGCCCCGTTTAAGCGTCCTTAACCGTCCTCAAGCGGCCAGGCCAGTTTTTGGTGGCGTTTCCATATAGCCTAGTACCGGCCAGCGGGTACTTTTTCCCTCTTTTTCCGGCCCCATAAAATCGTGGTTCCCTCAGACCAGGGCCAGGGCTGAACTAGTGACGTCAACACTCTCGACTGCTGATTGGCCAGAGAGAATCGTCACAAGATCGCGCGCGAGTTCATCCCTAGCGTCGCATATATATTTAGAAGCAAGCTTGCAGCATTTTTATAAACAGCATTTTGTAAACGGATGAGCTACAAAAATGGCTACGTCTAATAAGAAAAGCACACCGTGGTCGACCGAGGGGGTGACGACGTTCCTACATCTCATTGGGGATGATCAAACAAGAAATGTGAACAAAAACAAAGCCGATCGCCCCGCCTACACTGCGTTGCTACCCCAGGTCCTAAACTGTAATGGAAATGCGCCACGGCCTGAGCGAGGACGCTTAGGGACGCTTAAACGGGGCTACCCCGTTGCAGTGGAAATGCGCCATAAGTCGCTTTGGATAAAAGCGTCTAACATGTAATGTAATGTAATATAGTTTAAATGGTCAATGAGGATTGACATCAATCACTCCATCCTCCTCACCCGTCTTGAAACCACCTTCAACATCTCCGGCACTGCCCTCTCTTGGTTCACTTCATACCTCTCGGACAGAAACCAGTTAATCTACATCAATAACTGCAAATCCCCCACCACTCCTCTCCCCCAAGGTGTCCCTCAAGGTTCAGTTCTCGGCCCCCTCCTATTCATCCTTTACCTGCTTCCCCTTGGTCACATAATCCGCCGTCATGGACTTCAATTCCACTGCTTTGCCGACGACATCCAGCTTCTCATCTCCACCAAGTCCATTTCCACTGCTACCCACTCCATTCTGACAAACTGCATCACTGAAATAAAATCCTGGCTCCAACTTAACTTACTGAAACTCAACTGCAATAAATCTGAAATAATAATTATTGGACAAAACAAGCTCACCACACCTATCCATAACTTCACCCTCAACATAGACGGCTTCCCAGTTCCCCTCACATCCGGAACCTAGGCATCATATTTGACCAAACCCTCTCCTACAACAAATACATCAAACGGATCACAAAGACAGCCTTCTTCCACCTCAAAAACATCGCCCTGTCTACGTCCATCCCTCTCTCCCACTGCTGCCGAAACCCTCATCCACGCCTTCATCACCTCCCGTCTGGACTATTGCAACAGCCTCCTCTACGGTTCACCTGCAAAAATCCTCAAAAAACTTCAAAATATCCAGAACTCCGCCGCCCGTCTACTCACCCACACCCGAATCCGTGAACACATTACACCCATCCTCATCAAGCTCCACTGGCTCCCCATCCCCCAGAGAATTCAGTACAAGATCCTCCTGATGACATACAATGCCCTCCATAACCTGGCCCCATCCTACCTGACTGACCTCCTCCACAGACACACTCCCACTCGCTCCCTCCGCTCTGCTACTGCCAACCTCCTGTCCCTCCCCACCCGGACCAACCTCAAGTCCTGGGGCGACAGAGCCTTCTCTGTTGCTGCACCCACCCTCTGGAACTCACTACCCCAATCCATCAGAGATTCTTCCTCCCTCACAGCATTCAAAACATCACTCAAAACCCACCTGTTCAACACTGCATTCAACCACTGACCACCCCCCTCCCCCCCTATTTTATGTTCTGTTTTTTTTTGGTCCTCTTAATTCTCTGTCAAAGCGTCTTTGAGTTTCATGAAAAGCGCTATAAAAGTCCCATGTATTATTGTTATTATTATAGTAATGTATTAACGTCTCTCGTGTTTCCCCTCTCCTTCAGACCTGCTGCGGATGTTCTTCGACAGCCTTTACGACGAGGACGTGATCAAAGAAGAAGCTTTCTACAAGTGGGAGTCGAGCAAAGACCCGGCGGAGCAGCAGGGGAAAGGCGTGGCTCTAAAGTCCGTCACCGCCTTCTTCACGTGGCTCCGAGAGGCCGAGGATGAAGACGAGTCCGACAACAGCTAGAGGAGGAAGACGCTCGGAGGATTCAGAAGAAAAACCCTGAATCGGCAAAATCCTTCTGCATAAACAGAAACACAAAAAAAAGCAAGAAAAAAAAAAAAATTCTTCAACTGGGAGAGATTGTATTACGGATCGAACACTCGATCAGTTATTTTTTTTTGTTTCCTTTATTTTTTTTGTTCCCTTTTTTGCGCAACTGAATGTCTTTTTTGGAAATAAATACAGAATAAAATAGAGCGAGTAGAAGAGCGAGATAAGAGCCGCGAGAGAAGAGCCGTTTCCTTCAGTATTTCTTTGAAGTTAACCTGTTTTTTTCAAACGTCTTTTTTTTCCTCGCCACGGTCAAACACTATTCAAGACACTTTGCTTAATGACAGATATATAAAAAAATAAAATAAAAAAAAACTTTAAAAGGCTGTTCACATTTATATTTTTGATGACTTCATCGTGTGAGCGGCAGCATCACATCGATCGGTGTTGGATCTACACGACCAAGCGCTAGTGTAGACGGTTAACTTTCCCTTTCATCTTGTGTTGGATGGTTGGAGTGAGTGTTTTGTAATAAAATTAAAAAACTACAAAGAAGAGTGGCGAGCGCTGTCGAAGGGACGTTTCAGACGGACGGTTTGTGGACGTGACGACAGATTTCACGCAGACTTTACGAGTGGGAGGCGATGAACTTTGACCATTTTTTGCTGCTGGGGGGCGACGATGCTTCCCTGACGCCCAAAAAACCCCAAAACCATGTGTCTGTTATACTCCTGCGCTTCAAAACACAAACTGTGGACTGAGAGAAAGAAAACACGCTCCTGCAAAGCCTGTCGTCGGATCTTTAAAATATGAGATAAAAAGTACACGGACAAAAAATCCACTTGAATAAAACACAAAAAAAAAAGCTCAACAGTTCGGATCCTAAAGCCTTTCTGCTTCCTCCAGTGGAAACGCATTTCAGGAGAGTTCTGTAAATATATAAATGGCTTCTGTTTTTTCAAAGAAAAAATGCTAATGTATCGCCATGTGATTCCCCCGAAACAAGTCTTTATCTCCTGTATTTATATTTTTCTCTCCTCGGCCCGGCAGAAGGTGCTTGTATAATTATCCAACCCCAAGTCATTGATTACAATTTAATTGAACATTTGTAAATACTTTTTTGCTTTACTTTATTAAAAAGATATTTAATTAAAGTAAAATGATTTCCTCTTTTCACATCCAAAAACTGGAAGAGATAATAAAGATTGTTGCCAATAAAAGAAAAAAAAATGTCTTCCTTTGCTTTTTATTAAGACTCTTGAATCCTAAACACTACGATCACTTCTGTTGTATATTATATATTATCACTTGTTTTGTGTACGTTTTTATCTCATAATGTGGGCTTTTTTCCTCAAAATTCTCACTTTCTCACTTTTTCTCAAAATGTCGGTTTTTTTCTGAAAATCTGAAAATTATCACCTTTTCTCAAAATCACAAAATTATCACTTTTTCAAAATCTCAAAAAAAATCAGTTGGTGCATTTTCTGAATCTGAGGAGTGTTCTCATCCCTATGATTTAAGAGAAATTGATAACATGTAGTCTAAAGTCAAGGGAATATAGTTGCTTAGCTTTTTTTCAAATGTGTTTACTAAAATGCAAAACAACTTAAACAACCCAGCAGAACATCTGATAATATTAATGCATTTTATTTATTGAGCGCTTTTCTTGAAACTCAAAGACACTTCACAAAGTAAAAATTCATAAAAACAACACTTGTAAAACATTAAAGGTCCCATGTCCTGGCCATTTCTACTTTCGGCTGAGAAAAGATAAGGCTGAGTGAGTGTATGGACCAATCCGTGGAGCCGTTACGTCACTGTGACCTTTACGTCACTACGACCAGGGGGGGGCACTGACTTTGGACCCCCCTGTGGCCGCCCCTGAAAAAAAATAAAAATAAAAGGTTTATGATTAAACCATTTATTGGCTGACGGAATAGGTGTAACTAACGCTATTTGTCATTCTAGTCGGAACCATTAGAGCAGGGGTCTCCAACACGTCGATCGCAAGCCCTCAATAAGTAGCTCGCCAAGCAAATGTAAAAAATACACACAAAAAAAAGGAAATGTAATTAAAATAATCTACCCTATGCATAAACGAAACCTCAATCATAGCGAACTCTATCTACTTACTACAACTCTATATCTAACACCCCTCCTCCCCCCACAATGAATATCGACCAATCACGTTCTTGCAACAGTTTAAAAGGGGAGTGATTAGTAAAATTGCATAAATAGAAAGAAATAATGCTAACTAGGTAACATAAGATAAGAATAAACAAGTTTAAATGATTTGTTATTGGTTGTGATCATATTCTAAAAATGTTTGGATTATTGAAAAGTATACAGCTCCCTTTCATCTGAGTGTTGAGAGCTGTATCCTCCATACATTCATGTTGCTCTCAAAGTGCACCAGATTGATGCATTTCACTTCAACATTTAAGAAAATATCGTCCCGGGAAGCATGCCCCGGACCCCCCCTTGAGGATGTGAGGTCCACCCCCAAATAAAGCAGGTTAAAATAATTAAATTGCATACATTTTCTTTTAGTAAAAACTGAAAACGGGTCCCACAGACCCAAACAGCACACAAAGTATAATGTTAAAATGTGCTAAATATATACACTGCAAAAAAATAAATAAAAGAGGAGTAAAAGTAGCTCACGACTTGTTTTATATTCTGAAAGTAGCTCTCATCCTAAAAAAGGTTGGAGACCCCTGCATTAGAGCGTACAAACTAACTATAAGTATCTGAAATACATATGTGTACTGAAACAAATACCAATACATGTATTGCATTGTTTTCTTATGTGCAATTACTTCATACTGTCTTTGTCTTTTTCGTCCTGCATTTATTGTGCCCCCCTCAGAAAATAACTGGCCCCAGCCTGGCCCCCCCCCACTCAAATTGGTCTAGAACCGCCACTGCGACCAGGAAGAAAAACATTGAAAAAGAGAAATCTCCAACGAGGCGTTCTGGGGCAGCATAGACAGGTCTTTTCTGTGTTAGAGTTTTACTCGCTACAGGGTGTACTTTGAGGGTTTGTGACTGCAGACCGTTTACATGCAGAACAACCTTCACAAGGGGACGGGTGATAACCAGAAAAGCATGACATGGGACCTTTAAATACAGATGAAGAGAGTTTTGATTTTGTTAAAAAGGTGTAAAAACAATCTAAAAGGGTTTTGATCAGGGCAATTTCCGGGGTATACCTTAATCCACTGGGATTTAACCTAATGGAAACATGCATTATTCATTATATAGGCCTAACCCAAACAACTCTTACAAGATGAGACCTGAACACATTGTTTTGTATTCTGAGCTAAGTTCGTCTTATAAACGTCACACACAGTGCTGGACCTCTTGGGGATTTCCAGAAAAACTTCCTCAAACCTTCATTTTAAGGTCCGGACCAAGCGGCAAACTCTGGGGAAGAGCCGGGACGCCAATACGGAAGTGCCACACACTGCAGTTCATCTAGTGGCCAGTAGGAGCAGGCTGCAGAAGGGAGCAATTTCCATAAACCCCCATGTTAAAATACCCAACTTTACAGCAGAAATAAACATGTTTACATCGTGGTTCAAAAAACCATATTCTCTGTATAGTTAGATTCCCCCTTCATGACTACTGTGTGGGGGGTGAATTTTTTCTCAACTCATCTGTTTAATTAATATTAAGCCTTAAAGCTTTTGCATAAATTAGGGCGTGGTCACTTTGATGGACATGTACTGTCAGCTAACAGCAACTTGTCGGCTAGGCTACAACCATAGAGGCTACAACGTTAGTTAGTTGTAGTTACTGTACTTGACCCTTTAGCCGTGTTCGTGGTGATTGTGCCTTTTAGGGAATATTGTTACAAATACCAGACAATTAAAATGTTGTGCTGTGCGCTTGAATGTACTAACAGAACTTCCAAGAAGTCTAAAATTATCATATTATACATGTTAACCCCGTTCGCAGGTGCTTGGTAGCTTAGCTTGCTACTTATTAGCCAGCTAAGGACGTAACCCTTTATACATACATATACATTTTAGTTTATGATTCAGCCTTGGGTAAGACTTTTATAGCCTATGGCTATGACGCCCATAATGCTAAACGGGAGCAAATGTTAATAGGGGACCCAATTATCCCAGTGGTGGCCGCCGGAGCTAACGGAGCCGCAGGGGGCTAGCTCCAGCCGGCGTCCCGGAGCTAGCCCACTGCGGCTCCGTTAGCTCCGGGCGGTGGAGTCCGTCTTTTCTCAACGTGTGAATGACAAGCATTAAGAATAACAAAATATAGCTAATTCTCTTGCAGATTGTCTCATTTGATTATGAATGTAACATTTATATAGGGGAACTACACTGTTAGCAGTAACTTGGTATGCATGTATTTCATGTTAGCTTAGCTTCGTTCTTAGCCTGAGCTAGCTCTGTTTACTTCCAGTTCGGAGGCAGCAGGTCCCGCCTAGGCTCCGCCTCTTTGCCCTTATTGGGAGCAGGCGGGATTAGACTCTGACGTCACAGTCGAACCGTTAGTGGCCGACTCCGCCTACTAAGGGCTTCACGGCAACTCTGCAGAATCCTATGGGTGACGTCACGGACACTACGTCCATTTATACAGTCTATGGTGTGGACACACCGACACACCAAGCTGACACCAAAGAACACGTCGCGACGGACCCGACTGTTGTGTGTCGCCTCAGGTCTCCTGCGTCTCCTGCGTCTTGGCCAACAGTCGCACTGGAACCATGACTGGAACACACTGCAAAGACTTCAGCCGACGGCCAAGTAGCACGTACGCACGGCTCTGGCACTGCGTATGCGTGAGTGGCAATAACTCTCCTTACCAGCAGGCGGCGGTAGTGTGTATTCGTCATTCAAAAGAGGTAACCGGAAGACAGACTGCGTGATATATACAAACAACAAATAGTCTGTGCGTTCAACTTTCACTCTCTTCCATCTCAGACTGCTTCACACAACGCCTTTTAATCGAAAACATGTGCAGTGTGGCACTGGCGGTATCAGCCCTGGGCCTGTTGCTTGTGGAAGCAGATAGCAAGAGGCGGAAGCGAACAATTAGGAGAAACCGCACTAAATGGGTGAGATCATGGATACGACAGCGAGAAGCTCACGGGGCTTTCCCGAACCTGTGTGGAGAGCTGGAGTTAAATGAAATCCCAGATTTCAAAGATTTTGCTCGGCTTTTTCCTGTTCAGTTCCACATGTTGAAGGAACTCATCACTCCACTCATCCAGAGGGAAAACACCAACTACCGGGACTGTATCTCCGTGGGGGAACGTCTGATGGTTACGCTGCGATTTTTGGCAACAGGTATGCAAGCTAAAGCTATATTTAAAATGGCAGCACTTTGTATATTATTGTATATTATGCTTTAGCAGTGGTATACGAAGTACTTATACATTTTACTTCAGTAAAACTGGTAATACCGCAGTGTAGAAATACTCTGTTAGAAGTCAAAGTCATGCATTAAAAGATTTACTAGTGTAAGTACAAAACCAAATGTACTTAAAGTACCAAAAGTGCTGCTTGGTAGCTTGAGAATTTACCAAGGGATCAATAAAGTTGTATCTTAACCTGTAATAAAATATTTTATTATTATATTTTGTATCATGAATCTAAATCTTCATAGTAACTAAAGTAATCTAACTATCTTGTAAACTATAACTTGTAGTTGTGTAGCTAATGAGTGTTTTGTTCAGCTGCTTGTGTAGATAACTCTGTGTATAAACTCTTTGTTAATATTTGCAGGGGAAAGCTTCAGGAGCCTTTCCGACCAATTCCGAGTGGGGTGTCAACGATACGGCAGTTCGTTCCTGAGACCTGTACAGCCATCTACGAGGTTTTAAAAGAGAAATACCTGAAGGTATGTGTGGATACTGACTGGTTTTACTGTCCAATCCCTATGTAATACAGTGAGGTCTGTAGGCATTTGAACAGCAAATGTTTGCTCTGCCATACGAAACATGGGTCTTAAAAAAATACATGTTTTGTTTTTCAGTGCCCAGACACAGTGGAAGAGTGGCAGCAAGTAGCTGATGGATTCCAGGCTCAGTGGGACTTCCCAAACTGCCTAGGTGCCCTGGATGGGAAACACATCAACACCCGCCCCCCATTTTCCATGGTGCTAATGGCACTGGTCGACAGCAACTACAAGTTCTTGAATGTAGATGTAGGTTGCAACGGGAGGATTTCTGATGGTGGTGTGTTTGGTGGATGCTCACTGCAGGATGCCCTGGAGAATAGGACATCCAACATCCCTGCACCTGCACCCCCTCCTGCTTCTGACCAGGCGGTTTGTTACTCCATTGTGGCAGATGAAGCATTTCCCCTGAAGGAGTACCTCATGACGCCCTATCCGAACCAGAGGCTAGCTGTAGAGCAACGCATCTTTAATTACAGGCTGTCGCGGGCTCGGAGGGTGGTAGAAAATGCCTTTGGCATCCTGGCCAACCGTTTTCGGGTCTTTCTAACTTCCATAAACATTCAAGACACTGCCAAAGTGGAGGGCATTGTTTTGGCTTGCTGTGCTCTGCACAACTTCCTGCTCACAGAGAACTGTAGCGTATACATGGCGGGAATTTTTGACCAGGAAGGACCCGATCATGGCACTGTCCCAGGAAGATGGAGACAAGACCCTGACCTACAGCAAGCCACCCTGCCACCCACCACCAATGCTACAGCTCGAGCCAAGCAGCACAGGGATGAACTATGCCAATATTGTAACAGTATCGGTGCAGTGCCTTTTCAGTGGGATAAGATATAGCAAATATGTGTGCCTATCCTGCTATTTGTGTTTATTCTTTTAATCACACAGCGTTAAGAAAAAATAAAAATGTGCCTACGTATCCGTCAGTTGCAGTCCTAGCATTATTATTGGTTTAACTACTAAAACATTTTAAAATGACCATCTTGAACAGCTACAACATTAAAATACTTCTAGGCAGGTTGTGGAGGATACTTGAAGAAGCTATTGTCCACCTCATGCAGGAAGTGTGGCAGCAAATTATGTGGCAACTCCCGCAGTCTGTGTTCAAAGGTTTTTGAGTAGGCCGCGATGTCGTCATTATGTTCAACCTTCGAAGTTAAATGTTCCAGGGTCCTGTCAATCGTGTGCATCAACGTTTCTGATGCCTCACTGGCGGACTCATCCAGCATCTTCCTGCTGCGCTTCACTCGAGGCCTTGGAGTGCTTAAGTGACTGAGTGTGCTTGGCCCCTCTCCGAGCGGTGCCGGTGTGGACTCTGTTCCACAGATGGTGGATTCTGCCAGGGGAGTGCAGGGCCTTGACTCAGCATCGAAGAGGAAGGGCTCCTCAGGGCTGCTGGTCCAGGTTTCACTGCTGGTGCCATCAGGTGGTTCTGCAGCCACCTTTTAAATAAATTCACAATTAGTTTGATTTAATACCATGGATTCTTAAAACTATTTACGTAGCATTCATAACAAAACAATACCCTGAAATGTGTGTGCCATTTGTTCGGGGTGTGGTCAAGTGTGAGAGGCACATTGTAGACAAACTGTGATGGCTCTATTCAGATGCTAAAGACATACTTCTACACAGATTGTGGAAGATAATGGGAGAATGAAGAAACCATCACGTATGAAAGGCTACATGTGAACAGGGGCAGAAACCGTCACGTATGAAAGGCTACATGTGAACAGAGGGGCAGAAACCGTCACGTATGAAAGGCTACATGTGAACAGAGGGGCAGAAACCGTCACGTATGAAAGGCTACATGTGAACAGAGGGGCAGAAACCATCATGTATGAAAGGCTACATGTGAACAGAGGGGCAGAAACCATCACGTATGAAAGGCTACATGTGAACAGAGGGGCAGAAACCGTCACGTATGAAAGGCTACATGTGAACAGAGGGGCAGAAACCGTCACGTATGAAAGGCTACATGTGAACAGAGGGGCAGAAACCATCACGTATGAAAGGCTACATGTGAACAGAGGGGCAGAAACCGTCACGTATGAAAGGCTACATGTGAACAGAGGGGCAGAAAACCGTCATGTATGAAAGGCTACATGTGAACAGAGGGGCAGAAACCGTCATGTATGAAAGGCTACATGTGAACAGAGGGGCAGAAACCGTCACGTATGAAAGGCTACATGTGAACAGAGGGGCAGAAACCGTCACGTATGAAAGGCTACATGTGAACAGAGGGGCAGAAACCGTCATGTATGAAAGGCTACATGTGAACAGAGGGGCAGAAACCGTCACGTATGAAAGGCTACATGTGAACAGAGGGGCAGAAACCGTCTTGCACATTGACATTTCAATCTTGAACAATGAACAGCGGTAGACAGTAACAAAGTACATTTACTTAAGTGCTGTACTGCTCCACTCCCATTCAGGCAAATAGTGTACTTTATACTGCGCTACATTTATTTGATAACTTTAGTAACTTTGAAGATTCAGAACAATACAAAATATAATCAAGAAATATTTTGTCATGTATTATTATAGGTTAAGATAACAACTGTATTGATCCCATGGTGAATTTCATAAGCTACCCAGCAGTATATAATCAATCACCTCAATGACTTGATAATCAATCGTGTCAATCGTCGCCTACCATGCCGTGAACTATGCCGCGAGAGAAGTAACGTGACACTCTCGTCGCCACCCCTCTCGCCTGAGAAGCTACGTGACGTCTGCGTCTGAAGTTACTTTACTTTGGTTGTTATCACCAAATAACCCAGTAATGTTAGTCAGTATTTCAAGCTAGACTCTATTTCAATATAGTTTTGGTATTAAAATAATGTTACACCTCTCGTATGCCCTGAACGCCAAAACAACCACGGACAAGAATATATATTTGTAATTATCAAAATGATAACAAAGGCTGAAAAAACAGGAGAAGCCTGTCTTCCTTTGGTCTTCAGGGCCCAGGAGTTCAAAACTTTTAATCCCTATCTGATCAAATCAGATTTGTATTTTTGGTAGTTCAAAAACAGGATTAGGATCACTTTGATATCCGATCAGATCAGGAAATCAAATCCAAACTTTAATGTGGATCAAATCTTCAAAACGGGTAGTTCAAACCGACAACACAGGATTGGGATCAGTTTGATCCCAAAAAACTGGATTATCCTGATCCCACCAGAGGGGTGGATTACCAGAGAAAAACGTACTGGACAATTTATTTTAAAATATGTTCCAATTTAAATAAAATGGCAAAGTTTGTTAACTGAAATAATACACAATTGTTAGCCTTCATGGCAAATACATTTTGTTTTTCCATTTTTGGTCACGTTTGTGGTGGCCTTTTTTGTTTTCAACCAAATATTGATGACATACATTTTTATGCTCATAAAAGTATCACAACAAAGATTGTCAATCACAAATGCAATTTAGATTAAAGAAAAAATATCTTCAACAAATAAAAAGTCCATCATCTGTCATCACCTTTCAAATTGAAACATATAATTAGACATTATAGACAGGGGTGCACATAACTTTTTTGCCCTGGTTCTCAAAGGAGCACCTGGAGATGTTGCTTGGTGCTCATCCTTAAAATGAAATAAACTGTAACTTTTGAGGGGTCTTGACTTTATTTGCCAGACACACGGCACTGAACACACATGCAGAGGTGAACACAGAACACACATGCAGAGGTGAACACAAGACAACATTAGCACGACCAGTAATCATACAAGCTGTCATCACTCCCTCCTGACTGTTCTCCTCACTGTCTTCCTCTCTGTCAGACATGGTAGCTGATGATGTAGGCCTACTTCTTTCTCTCTGGTTGAGTCTGTGATTAGCTGCTTGCATCCACAAGTCAACAGCTGGGTTTGGGTCGAAAGTCTCTGTTGTCATCTTAGACAAGTGAATGTAATCAAATAAGTATGTGGACATAACCAATAACCTACCATAGCCAATAACAAATGAATGTAACTTATTTTATTTTTGTTGTTCATTCATATCTTATTTTACCTTAACATTTATTTATGCTTTTTTTTTTATCTCTCCAGTTTTAAAGGATATTTTTGGTTACTGTCCTATAGTATACATTGGAATGATTTAAAACCTGTTTATCCCAATAATTATAAAGGAGTGCCTTGGAAATATGTGTTTACATAAATTGCGACCAAACCGTTTGAACTTAGACTTTACCTCACTGAGCTGTAGTTATCAGTCTGACTGGAGAGGACTCTCCCTCCACCTTATTGTAGAAACATCTTCTTCTTATATCCGTTAGAGCAGCTAGCACGGCACCAGATTCTAATAACAACAGCGCTGGTACCGGTGCACCCTCTCTCTCTCCCTCGCTTTGGCTGTGAGCTGCGGGCGCCAGATAAGCCAACATCCCCCATTTTCATCACTTACAGCGCCCATCGTACAGGGCAAATGAAACGTGTAACCGGGGTGAAAAGGGTGTTACATTTACTTAATTATGAATATTGTTACATCAAGGCCGAAAATTAGGATGAGCCCCAACGGTCAAAATGTTTTTTTTCCCTCCCAGAACTGCCAGCGCAGCGCCTCCCCAGATCTGGCGCCCTAGGCGAACATCTAGCCAGAGCTACGGGCCGACCCTGAGTTCATATCATGGTTCATAAATGTATGCAACTCGCAAATATCTTTCTCTCTCTCCCTTCTCTCTCTCCCTCTCTCAATGTTGGTACGCAAATGCGCTTTGTTTCAAATGACCCGGTGCTCTTTTTTTGGCGGAGGTGCGCATGCGCACCTGCGCACCAGTTATGTGCAGCCCTGATTATAGATGTCTCTGCAATGTCTTGTCTTCCTTGTGTTATTTTTCATATCCACTAGATGGCGCTCGGTAGGATTAAAGCACTGATATTCAGGATCTAGTCATTTTGTAAAGTCGTAATCTGGATCAGGGTGATCCTATCCTGAATTGCTTTGAACTACAGGGAGAAAATCTGGCCGATTTGTCTGATCCTGGATCACAAAACATGGGATTTCAAAATCTGATCGGATCCGATTGAGATTAAAAGTTTTGAACTCCTGGGTCGAAAACGCCGCCGAGTTTTCATATAGTTCTGTGTGTGAAATATATCGCTGCAGTGAACACTTTATGTATTTGTTTATGGTTTATTTGATATGGAGGGATTTATATATATAGAAGTTTATATTATTTATTATTATATTATATTATTATTATTATATATTATTTATTATTATTATTATATATGGTAAATTATATATTATAGAAGTTTATATATAAAGAAGTTCAGAGAAGAAACAACCCCTATATATTGTTTATTTTATTTCATTTAATTTTGGCCCCATGGCAGAGGCAAATATGGAGTGGAGTTGGATGAGGATGGGGGTGATGTGGTCAGAGGATTTGGTGCGGGTGTTTATCCGGCAGAAATCTGAATGATTTGGAGTTTCTTGAGGAGTTTGATGGGGAGGCCAGAGAGGACAGCGTTGCATAGTCAATACAGGATTTGACTAACGCGTGAACCAGGACTTCAGTGCTGGATTATATAGAAATGTATTTATTAGGATTAACCTCTTGAAACCGTCTCGTTTTCAAGGGGGTCCCGACAAAAGCAACGGCTTACAGACATGAACAAAATAACAGAAAGCAAAGCATGACAAACAAGGAGAAACCTGTACAGTCTGTTAAGTAAAATTCATGACGTAATACATACAATCATTACAGTGAGATAGACAGTAGTGTCTAATTAATAGATCAGTTTCATCAATAACAAGAGCAGAGCAGCTGAGAGTGAGATGATGATGCTGAAACATATGATGGTCTAACAGCAGCAGGTCAAGTCTGCTGGGGATTTAAACATGAACGCTCTTCTGCCAATACATTTTTTGGCAGAGGGAACAGAGAAATAAATCTGAACAGAATGTCTGACTTGAT